GTAAGCTCAAAATTATTGTGTATTAACATTTCTGTATTTTTGGGGTTTTGGGTTTTGTTTTTACTTGTGGAGTTATTTCAAAGCTATATTCAAATATCCAGTATAGTGCCACTATATGACATTTCTTATTGCTTTTCTTAATTTATCCATAGGATGCAAATATTTTCTTTTCTTATTTAACTTCTTGTGGGAAATTAAATATCTATAGAATCTGTTAAAGAGTCTCTAAATATAGTTTGGCTGAGTTAAATGGTTTCTATTATGTCCCTTGCCATTATCTGTATCTCTTCCGCTCTAATAATATTCCACTTGTTTTAAGATAAGTATTTTAGCATTTCATTGCAGAATGGGAAATACAGGCACAACTGTATTTATTTTTTTATTTTGATAAGACACGTGATTACTTAGACTAAGCATCTTTCAATAGAAAATCTTTGTAGCATGACCCTATTGGAAGGTGAAATACAGCAGACTAAAAATAATTTTTATTTGCTATAAAACTTCTAGGGACTAAATGCAGCAGTGGAAGTGTGTTTTGAACCATAAGCAAAATTAACATATTGAAAAATCTATCTAAGCAAGTCTAGGAAATACAAGTGAGCATTACTTGCTCCGTAGTGAAGAATAAAGCTGATATGTGAATATGAATCAAATATATTAAAAGCAAGAAACCAAAAATTGTGAAGTGCGCAGGCTTCATCTTGACTATTTGTACAGGATATTGGAAGAAAAAAAGGCTGAAAAATCTTGGAAGAAAAAGTGGAAAGGAAGTTAAAAACTGAGACTGCTCAAAAATGTTTCTTTTTTTCCTTTTTCCATTAACCTAAAAAACAGACATTGAAGTAAATCTTAAGAGAAATTATTTTACCAAAGAAGCCTTAAAAAATCTTTACAAGCCTTATAAAAACTCCTGTTTGTCCTTATCAACCCAACAATTTCAGAGTTTCTTTACTTAATTTTAATGCCTTAGACCAAGACATTGAGTATATACATAGATACGTTTCTGGGAGATCAAATCCAGTTTTTGGATAATCAAAGACGCAGCATTATGTAATCAGTTGTGTGAAATGAGATGGAAAGTTATGTGGCTTAAACACTACTTTCTAAAACTCATGTTTGTCTTACATTTGACTAGATTATATTTAGTAGAATTCTTTAAGGAACACCAATTATATCATTATTGTCAAAGTTCTTCTATATCTTAATTTCTCTCAAATAGTTTGTCTTCATCTATCAGGCAGATTAGCCACAAATCTTATTTTTCTATTGTCAATCTAGAATCTTTATCTGGTTGTTCTTTGCCTCAGCAGACTTGCCATTCACTATGGGCTGCTTCATAGGAACAGATTCTCTCCTGGACAGGTTGACTTGATTCTGCAATTAGTTTCCTCCTATCTTGTACCCTAATAAATACTGCTTCATTGTTACATAAAACTAATCATGTATTGTTTTTCACCTAGGAAGCTTTTAGAACATATAAGGATCCTGAAAGTTGCATGAAATAGAAGATTTTACTCACTCTATGGTTGCTTTTGTTATTTAATCATATATTATACATTATTTTTTATTAGTACATTTTTACTGAAAATTCAGAGGCTATGTCTGCAAAATTTACAAACCGTTAGTACAGAAGTTCGTAAGAATTATTGTAAGATTTCTTCTTAAAATCCATAGGTACAGCATTATTGTCAGATGTGGAGAAGTTTGCCAAGAATTTGAGTATTAATCAGCATTTTTTGTGGGTGGAATTAAAACACAAAAGGATGTTGTAGGCAAAAAAAAAAAAAATCACATTGTTTTCTGAACAGCTGTATAACAGCTACTTTCAAAAGCTAAATAGTAAACACAGAAGGAAAGACTTTCACACCATAGAATGCAAGACAAAATATTTCTGGCTTGCATATTGTGGGAGTTTTTATAGAGCAAAAACAAAGCTAAGTAAAAATTGCCTGTGTGCTTGGACAGCTGACATTTCAAGAAATAAGTTAGAAATCAGAATCATTTTCAGAGCCATGCTAGTTGCCAACCATTTAGGCATTTGGAACTAATTGAGGATGCAAAAGATTATGCACAAATACTCTATAATCTGTGGCTTGTTATATGTCTATTTTGTAAAATTTCTTGTAATAAATCTCTTGTGCTATGTGTAAAATTGGAGTTGTTTTTAAATCCTGAAATATTTACCTTAAAGTTGATATATCATTTCTATGTATATGTAATGTGCAACCATAATACAGTTGATAGATAATGATATCTTTTATTTACCAGTTGTTACTGATGAAAAACATTGACGAGCTTCAGAATACCGAAGCTTTCTTAATATCTGAAACAGAAAAAGCATATTTCAAGCACAAAAAAAAAAAATTGCATGGAGTATCAGAAATACCAAATCTTGGAGAAGAAAGATAACTGGCAGTTACAGTTAGGGGAGGTATTAATGAAGACTGAGAGAAAAAACTGAGATCTGTGTTTGGACCAAAATAGATGCAAATTCTGATTCAGTAACCTAACGTGGATGAGTATCAAGGATATTTTTCACTGGGGAAATACTTTTTAATTTTGAAAAAGTTGTCAAATATCCATATAAGGAATACATTCTAAAACCCATCTCAATAAGATAGTGTGGTAAGGAGTTTTGCCTTGTGAAACACCTGCCATTTAAAAAAAAAGACTTATTACTAGTTGTATCTATCTCTTTAACATCTGAAGTTTTTGCTAGACACAAGTTGTTGTTACAGGTTTTGGTTTCCTGAAACTAAAACATTAAATACCAAAAAATTATAGATTAAACATTAAAAAGAAATACTAAAGAAAGTTTTATTGTCCTATTGACAAAAACACAAAAAAAATTGCTTCTTCTTGGTCTTGTTTTTTTGTCAATGATTCTTTTGACCTCCTGGTCTGTTATTACCTGATACAACTTTTTTGTGACTTTTGGAGAAGACTTCTTTTATCTACTGAGTATCGCTGGTAGCATGCTGAATGTCCTCAAGAAATACAAACCCCATAAATTTAGGAATTTCTGTGGTTTTTAAGTCTCATTTTATTTATTAATAATTATAATATTTATTTTCTTTTTGTTACTTATTTTATTTTTGGAAATTAGTCATAAATTGACCATGGTATAGCCATAGAATTATGTAGTCATAGAATTATTAAGCTTGTAGAAGACCATGAAGTCCAGCTTTCAACCCAGCACCAGTACCATGTTCACCACTAAACCATGTCCTCAAGTGCCATAGCCAGGTGTTTTGAACATGTCCATGGTTGGCAACTCCACCACTTCCTTGGGAAGTCTGTTCCAGTGCTTTAGAATCCTTTCTGTGAGGAAACTTTTTCCTAATGCCTAAACTAAGCTTTCCCTGGAGCAAGTTGAGGCCATTTTCCTGGGTTTATACTGACTATAAACACGTCTGATAAAGGCATTTGATTTTTTTTCTTGTTAAGCGAAAAGCCAATGAGAAGAAAATAACAGCTAAGCAAGCAATATATGATGTTGATGAAACATGAGGAAATGTGAGTTTCCTTTGTTCCCTTTCCAGCACAATCCACTACTGGGACTTGATTTCATTCACATCAGTGAATAGGTATTATGTAATTGCCCTTTTAATCTCCTATAAGAGATTAACAATCAGTGCATGGGAGGCTATGTTAGTATGTTATTGGCACTATGTCTGCCAGTAGTGAGAAACTCGCAGCAAATGCTTAGTACTTACTTTCAAGTATCAGTTCCAGTTAATTATGATTTACATGGCTTGATCTGTTTCAACATGAACAATTGAAGTCAGTAGCCTAAGGTGTGCCAGACCAGGATTCAAATCTACTCAGAGTCAAGCAAAGGAGAAATATGAGCCATGGCCTCAAAGAGAATGTCTATGTGCTGCTTCCTGACTGTGTGATTTACCCAATTGTAAAGTTCAGTTCTTGCCTGCTTTAGTTTAGACTTCCACAGTTCAAGTAAGAATGTAATTTCTGCTCTGAAATCAATGGATGGGGTTTTTTTCTTTTGCTTAACCTGACAAATTTTATCTAGGTATTTGGACCTTCAGTTTGGCCTATGTGACAAAGCTTGTTAGGTCTGAAGAATCTTACCTGGATACTACCAAATCTCACTGGAAAAATTTGGTAGCAGCTAAGCTATGTTTCAAAGATGGAAGTGCATCCTTAAAGAGATGGATTGGTCTCCAAGTGATTTAGAGGATCATATTCTTTTCAGAGAAAATTCATTGCTGTTGAGTTACTTCTCAGCTGTATTCAGAGCTTTGACAAGCCATAAACAAACTTCTGATTCTCCCTGGCTAGCCTTGAGTGTCTGTGGTAGGGTCCTAATTGGTAAAAGAAGAAAAAGGGGAGAAAACTAGAGTTCAAAATCCCTCCATACCTTGTTAAGATTAGTATACTTTGTAATTTAGGATTAGAAGGAAATTCCCATTAAAAATAAGTACTTTCTCTAATTTTTTTTTTCACAGTAGAGAACCATATAATTTCTTAATTTTTCTCTTTAAATTAATAGGAAATAAACTAGGTCAATATTCAACAAATTAGGGAATTATCTACAAATATTGATGTTTGTGCTGTGCTGGATATTTGTTGCTCGCAGGATTGTTTCTCTTATTGGTTTTGAGTGTCCAAGTGAAGATATAAAAAATATAAAATTTTTTTGTAAGAGGCAGAGTATTTTTAAATGACTGGTTTAAATTCCTATAGGTAACTTGCCAAGTGTGTAAGCAAAAATACAAAAATCTGGTACTGACTTATCAAAAAGTGAAAATATATGGGTATATATTAATTTTTATTCTCCTCTTTAGTTCCAATATTTCTGTATTTTAATATCTTGTAATAAACCATAGCTGTAATTCAATATATACTGCAGTGATAAAAAATGAATTATTATTTACTAAACATGCCTGTGTTGGTGGCATGAATTATCTGTTGGCCTGATCACATTGTATTAGTACTGAAAAATTGCATTTATCTGTTTATTTATTTTGTGTTTTCAGGTAGATCTAGAAAACCTGGACTATCATTACTTTCTGCCTTTGTTCTTTGATGGGCTTTGTGAAACGGAATTTCCATATGAGTTTTTTGCTCGTCAAGGAGTCCATGACCTGCTGGAGCATGGTGGAAACAAGATTCTTCCTCTTGTTCCTCAGCTGATTATCCCAATAAAAAGTAAGTGAACATGTAGGAGAAAAATCCATAAATTGTATCTATAGGATGTAAATTTTTGAAAAGTTGCTAATTAAGCTGTAAAAGATGACAGCCTGAACATCACATGAAAATTATTGCAAATGTGAGTAAATTTTAGGATATAAGGCCAGAAAGTTTATGCCTTCAATCACCTGATATGTGCATTATTTCAGAATAGACTCTCTAGTTACTCCTTTTCTTATTGCAGGATTGCTCTTGGTCTTTGGAAATGTGACGTGACATTTCCTTAGGTGATTTTATATATTTACAATGTAAATCTTCTACTGTACAGACCAGTTCATCCAAAATGACAGGAGAAATCAACAGATGGCATTTTAAAAATGCTACTTTTGAAAGTCAAATACAGGGTTTATTGTACAAAAATTTTGTAAAAAGCAATAAATTATTTTAACACAAATATAATACCACTAAACTTCAAGTGTATTACCACTAAAATTCATTTTCTTGAGCCACCTAGTCTTTCAGATATATTGTGTTCTCCTTTTCTTTCTTTAGGTCAGTGAAGAGATAACTGAAGTGATATTATTCTGAACCATCATTCTTCTCTAGTTAGTTATGGTGATTCTTAAATCTGCAAACTACATTTACACTAATAGATGCTCATATTTGTTAAACTTGGCTTTTTTTTTAATCATTAATGGTATCATTGCTGTCCTTTTTCCTGTCCATGAGACAGTTCAGCTTTAAATACAGTTTTGTAAAATGGGAAGTGAATGTAGTTTGGAGCCTGATAATACTGAAATAATAGTGTGGGAAGGGTCAGAATTGTGGTTTTTCATTCAATTTTTTCTCAATTTAAAAAGATTGATTATAGATGTCACTATCTCTTAGTGTAGTTTTGAAAATGTCAAAAGGAATATATAATATTCAAAATGTTTACTCTGTGACACTTGAGAAAGGTTATGAAAACAATGTTACCATTTTTTCACTCTAAGGGGAAACACATAAAGAGGAATTATTTCTTTAGAACTGTATTTCCAACATCACCCAAATATATTTACAGTAGTAGCATGTTGTTTGAAAGGTGAAATAATTTATTCAGGAAAGACTGCAAGTTTGACAGCATCTCCTCAGTTGGGATTTAGAAGTCTTTCTGAGACGAGAATCTAGCTTAGATTTCATTACCTAGAAGCTTTAGCTGTTACACAGCTTTTAGCATTAGAAAGAGACTGCTAGGTAGGGATATTTTTATGAGTCTGATATGTAGTCTTAAGCCATAATTTATGGTGCTGGAACACATTTAAGAATCTGCTAGCTAAATTTCGTTGTTGTTTCTGCTTTATTTTATTCTGAAGTACTTATTTTTTTAAGAATGCTTCTCTATCAGCTTTAATGTGAAGTGTCTGAGTGTTATCAATGCTAAAGGCTTCTTCCTAATTAAAGACATACTAATAGTAAAAGATGAGATCATCAGACTCACCAGGAGTCTGAAAATGTGTACTTTTAAGGGTTTTTAAATTTGCTATGACTGCATAATACAGCAGTGTTGTCATAGCTATACATTTGTGACTTGGCAGCATCCACAATAAACTCAGATGTTTTACACAGATTACTGTCTCTAAAGTGTCCCACTGGGTGAGTTATTTCTCATTAACCAGTGTTCTTCTCGACCACTACCATATTTCTACTGTGAAAGAGTGAATCAATTGATTGTTAGACAAGGTAACATATATGATCGAGGGGAAAAGGCTAAAAGAAAGATGGAAAAACAACTCTACAGATGGAATGCTTTTAAAAGCATTCTCTCTGTTTTTAAGTTTTCTCTCCTGCATGGTCATCAAAGGAATATGTTAGTAAAGACCTAAATGTTCTCAAAAAGCATTTAAATTAAATATTAGAATTCTTTATCATATTTTAATGATTTAGGGGGGAATTTGTCTTCCAGCCATCCTTGCTTAAAGATCACACATTTGAACACTATATCATAAAAAATGAAAATAATATTATTTAATATATCTGTGGGTTATTCTAGGCCCAAATCCTTTCAACTTTTTTCTTGCTAAACAAGCAGTGATTTTAGAAAGACAGACAATTGAACTTAGTAGGCCTGGGTTCTCTTCTAAAATACCTGAAATATGATTAAAATAAAGAAAAATGTTCCTTAGTTGAAAAGTAATTCCTTTTTTTCTTTTGTCACACTGGAAGGAACATTTTTACTGAAAATTCAGAGGAAGAAAAAATCCATCAGGTTGGAGGCATTAATTTCTCAGTGAGAAAAATGTTCAAAATATATTTTGATTTCTCAAAATATAAATTCAGAATATATTGTATAATGCACTGGAAAAAAAATTATAAAATATTTTATAAATGCAATCATTACATGACATAAAACTCAGAGGAAACAAATTACCTGTTTATGTCAAACTTGTAAGGAATCCAACTAAAAATAAATAAAGCACAAACACAGAAAATGGGATTACTTAAGATATAGGACTTTTTGCTCCCTTACACAGAAGATATAGGCAAACCCATTGTCTGAGTTATTTCAACTTCAGCAAAGATTTATAAATTGAGATATATGGCAAATAGCAAAGTACTTTGCAGTATCATGAAAGTTCTGATGCACAATACACAAATACCTTCTTTGCTGGGAAGATCCATATTGCTATTTTCATATTACAGGCAGGTAAGAAAGCAGAAGAAGGAGGCTAATTTTGCTCCACATTGCAGATTGCATTGGTGGCAGAGAGCTGAACCCAGGCACAGCTCCCTGGGGTAGCAAACAAAGGTGTCTGTAGGTTACATGAGAGTTCCTTCATTTTTAGGAAACAGAGGAGTTTGTCTAGCCTTTCTATGTTTTTCTCTGTGGTCATTATGGGAATGTGGAATTCCTTTTGATGTTCATTTTTGGGAAAAATTATTACTTTTAATATTACGTTTCCAGTAACAAATGGCTCAGAAAATCCTGAAGTCCCTTTGCTTGCTTTTGTTAGGCTTCTGCAACTCCCAGATTCCTGACTTCAGGGCTCCCCAATGATCTCTGCGTAAGACACACGTGCAGACATAAAAACTGAGGGAGCCAGTAGTTTCTACACCTTTGTCTATTATTTCTATGAGTAACATCAGGGACATGCAACACAGTGTATGGAAGCACCTCCTCTTCTTTCAGAGGCAGCAGGCATGCTGCCATTCACATTTGCTTTGCAGACAATGTTGTTGTAGGAGTTTTCAAGCCCTGCATGCATCAAGTCGCCAATTGTTCCAGCTCCCACGCTCTGACTTTTGCTAATGCAAACTTGAACTAATCAGCTAAATCATTAATTTAACAACATGAAAGCCGATTAAAAACACACACAAAAAATCCCACAAAAAGCAAAGAAACCAAAAAAAAAAAAAAAAAAAAAGCCAAAGAACCCAACTCTAAAATAATTCTAAAATATTTTTAAACTGGCATTACTTTTAAAGTCAGAGCATTTCAACAGTCTAATTTATAAATACACTCCCACAAATGAAGGAACAGTACAGACATTGGAGTGAATTGCTAGAAATTATCAATCGGAAGATTGTCATATAGCTTTGCTAATGAAGGTAGTAATGCGAAATTAAACACTTAAGTATCTTGGGTCACCTACTGGCCAGAATCTTCTGTTCTCTGCTGTGAATCCTAAAACAGATATGTAGACAATCTGAATTTAGCCTTAAAAGCCAGAAAAGCTGTTATCTTTGCCCTTGTAACTTAGAAGATGGAAGTATTGTTTCTACACAGTTCCAGTCAGCAGACCAGTTCTGATTGAGTCCAAAAAGAATAATCTCCATCCTAAAGAACACTGAAGTTTTCCTTCTTGAGACTTTTACCAAGCAGTTAAACATAATTTCTGTGATACAGTAAATCAGGGATGCTTTAAACCTTGTTTAAAATGTTTCATTAAAGTAATAGATATTTTTGAGTCAGACTTAAAGAAATTAATAGAGCATTTTTCTCTGTGTCACCTACAGAGCCCTTTTTAATGTTTAATAAATTTTGAAATTAAACTGATTTCTATTTTCTTTTTGTTAACATACTGTTTGCACTTGATTTCCATTTTTTTATTGTTCATTCTATTTGCATGAAAAATGTTGTCTTGAGCTACAGTTTAGTTAATTCCCATTTAAGGTTAAATCAGTGTCACTTTTGCATTTAGAGATGTAAAGCTGAATGTGTTGCTAGCACTTGTTCCTAAGCACAGTTATAGTTTTCACATATTCACAGTACTTAGGAGTATTTAATGACTGTTAAATACTACCTTTCACAAAGTTCTGCAGTATTCTTATGGAATAAATATGGTTTCCTAGTCTGTTGTAATTTTCCTTTCTGCGAATCATACAAGTTGTTTTCTCTCACCTACAAAAGTCAAAACGTTAATGTAATTGTAATTTTCCTCCTGGCTGACTGTTGCTCTTGAGAAACAATCCTGGTTATTAAGGTCACAGATTAAAAGATAAAAGTAAACAGGCATGCTTTTAAAGAAAGCAAAGGTCTCTGATTTTTTTTTTTTTTTAATTGTTCTGATTTTCAAATACTAAAACATTTCCCCTGCAGGTTTCATTAACCAGTACAAGTAGTTGCAATTAGCTTTGTGTTAGATTCTTCTGCTCAAAACTGGTCATTTCAGTTATTTTCAAATGCCTTAGGTAGTAGATACTTTATTACTCCTCTTTACCCTTTTCTGTGGGGAGAATCTGTGTTCCTTATTCAACAAAGATAAATCTCATCCAGTTTGGAAAATGAAATCTGTAATTAACATCTCTGACTTTTAAAGTTGGAGCTAGAGCTATTCTTTCCTGAATTTATAAATGTATTATATTTAGCATTTATTAGTAATGAATTTCATCTGCAATTGTATCACCCAGTTGTTCTGTACTGTAAAGTCCATTTATAATTCTTCAAAGTCAGCCCTTGTCTTTGGCATCAGGAATAACCTGATATAATCAGAAATCTTTGTTATCATCACTGAAGACTCTTCCATATCACCTATGGATCT